TAGCTGCCATGCCACCCGAAGGAAGCACGAGGGCTGAGATACTGTCAGGTTGCCCAAGCCTAGACAGGGGAAGTCGAGTGGCGGAGGTCGGGTTCGAACCACGGACCTTCCGGTCAGTAAATTCGCGCTCTAACCGCTTGAGCCATTTCGCCCCCCTGGGCGTTTTAGCGAGTTTCTACACGCACTTCACTGTTTACAACACATTGAGACACGAAATCATGGCCTTGTCGAGTAAACTCAAGCTATTTAAACCAGCCTTTTATGTGAGGAACTTTAATCTTATTGATCACAGATGAGAAAGTGTTGAGTTCAGCGACGTAGCCGGCTAGTGTCCAGGGGCAGGAGGCACACTAGAATTTGTACAACCATTACGCCTACATCAGTATGCATAAGAAAGTACGATTAACCGATTCCGGTGGTGAAGATGGACGTGTAGGCACAAGAAAGAGATGGATTCGCCCCATCGCGAAGAACATTCGTGAAATTGTCAGCAAAAACCGACACATCACATTCGGTGGAATAGCATCGCCAGGATATATGACGATAGTATGAGGAATGGGAAAAATAGATAATGCAAGGATACGAATAATCAAAGAGGTAGTTGGGTTTACAGACTAATCAGATCGCGGCCGAAGATTTGAACAGTGGCTCAGTGGCGGTTTGGTACTCCGGTTGAAGACTAGACAACCGAGGAAAGGGGACTAATGGAAAGAATTTGGTGACAAGACCAGTGAGATTTTGTGCGCAAGGAAAACATGGATCACACCATACCAGGAACGTTGAATTCGCTGAGAATGCGGACTTTTGCTATGGGTAAGATTCAAGTATCTATTCACAGTCCACTATAAAAAAGCGAAAAAAGAATACTCGCCATTCAGTGATTGATAAACACGGCAAAGGTATTTATTAGGTCCGGGTTGATTGAAGTTAAGCTGAAGAATTACAGTGGCCGAGGATAGAGAAGAGTGAGTGTAGGTGTGTGATAAAATACACTGGAACTCGAGGATATATGAGGCCATCAGATCCAGAGATGAAGCTTTTCTGCATCTTAAGATCAGATCAACATATACAGTTGCTAAAATGGTTGAAATGAGCGGTCGATACTGGTTTGAGTGAAATAAACGGGTGCACCGTAAACAGCCAACTAGGAGAAAAACAAAGTTAACCCCAACTTAGTTTGCAAATGAATACACTGCGCCGGTCTTACCTAACACAACAAAAAGTAGTCTAAAGACCGGTCGAATAAGTGGGCCGGTCTCAGTGTGCCATATAACCAAGGCAGGTTCAGCGTTCGTGCAAGTATGATGGGTCACACAGCTTCAGCTGTTGCCTTTGGATGGATATCGATCGTCGGATCTAGGTAGTAAAATATCCATATAATGAAACGGAGCTAACAAAACAGATCCCTTTTATTCGACCACACTATCTGCGATAAATTCATTTAGAATATCGAGCTAGTCAACCGTGGGTATAGACTGAATAGGCACTTTGTTAGGGTCAGTTCACATAGACTGTTAACTGGTTAGACTTACGCGGGGAAATCACCCCTACTAGGGTCGATGACGAAAGACATCATCACCATCATCGACGGCAGGACAAAAGGCGGTCAACACCGACTCTGCAAGCCTTCCACAAAACCGGCCCCATCATTTAGTCAGGTACGACCCTATTTCTCAACACATTTTCCGAAAAGTTCAAACGCCCAAAGGTGAATAACTTCGATACAGAGAATGAAGTGTTTCCGAACCAAGCCAACCAAATTTTATATCCATTCAACTCTGAATAGCAGATCTCTTATTACAAATGTCCACGGGAAAAAGCATAATCGTTCTTTTGTGCGGATTAACCGGACAGTTGAACAGGTTTGGACCGTAATCTTACTGCCAGTGATTGTTCCAAATAACGTGTGCAAAGTCGGTTCTCCGATTAAAAATCCATTTTGCCAGCCTTTTTGGTATTATCTCACCAACTGAATACGGGTAATCGCTATTTACATCCCCATTAAATGTCGGGAATGCCTTTTCACGAAAACATAAGTAGTGCTGTGTTCAGTATCGCTATGCTTATTTTGAAGCATGGGATGATGTATACAGAAAACAAGTGAACAAAAACCACCGTTTATCTTTGTAAGGTTGCTGAAAATCCATCGACACTGTTTCATATCCTTTCATAATGAATTGATTGATATCTACTTTGCAATACATATAAGTTCACATAAACCGTCCACCAACAAACGCAAAGCACTTGTGGTATCTGTATTACGTGAATAGCATTCATATCGGATTCTCTTGAACCAGTCCAGGTATAACAGAAAACGTCATCAAGTACACGGCCTGGTTCACAAAGCGACTCACTGTCGCAACACGATAGGACGAGATACCTCACTGAATCGGATGGAAACCACCATCGTTTTTGTGTCTAATTGAGCAGTTTGGTTGTTCTAGCGTTACACCAAGATCATTTTTGTCATACCTAGGAAATACGAGCAACGAAAAAGGAATGTGTCATTTGCGTCCAACGATCTTTGGTGGATCGTGTTCAGTCGCCCTGAAGGGAAACCAATGGTGAAAGTCAGGGACGAGGAAAAACGTTGTCTCATACAGAGGTTTCCTTCAAAAGGATGATAACCGTACCCTCGAATTACGCCAAGGATAACCAATAACCATGAGCAAGCCAGGGCAATTAAACTACCGCAAGAAAATTCGGTAGTGTTGTTTGGGAACATCAAAGATACCTACATGTAAAGGCAATCCTCAGTGGCGATAATGGACACTCTGGCTGCTCCACTGCGTTAGGAAACGAGAGATTCATATTAGCATTAGTTTCTTCACAAAGCGGCCTGAAACTTGAGGCTGAAGGTTGTGTGAACTGCTCAGTTTGAGAACGGATCTCATGAACCAATTCTTTGTGGTTTTGCAAAGCCTGCATGGTGGGGACTCGTTGACCGCACTGACCACAGCCATAAGCCACCGGAAGATCGTCACACACAAAGCTATCGAGCTGACCCAAATCAACGACTACCAGGTTCTTTGTTAGCGATGGTTCCAATTTGTAAAGCTGCAATGGCAACAACAATAAAAGGAACAGTTGTATTGAGAGTGTGAGAGAAGCTTTACGCTAAATCACATGTACAACCACCTGAACGCACCGTACAGGGTGTAAACCCAAGGGAATAAGACCGGAGAGTGAGCAGGAGGGGCGTTTTGAAACACTGAGTGACCCAGAATTGTCAATAAGCCGAACAACACAACTGGACAGTTGAACCCCGCAATGTATGGGAAGGGTCAATTTGTGGCCCCCATTCTATCCACACGTATGTTTAGCTAATGATAGCCACCACTCCTCTAGGTCCGTACAACGATTGTTGAAGAGACTCACCGATGTAGACTAGTGAAAAACGAACCTTCAGGGGGTTCCAAAATAACAAGAATCAAACAACACAGGGGACTGTTGCGACTTTCGAGCAAGACAGAAAAGAGCCAACAGACGTGAGCACCACCGCATCAAACAATAAGAGGTGAAGTAAATCGAACAATCAGCTTGCGAGCGAAGCACAGCTGAAATTAGTATGGTTGTAGAAAGAAGTCAGTAATAAATCATAAATCGCGAAAACATTCATCTGAACTACTGAGGATTTCTTCTGACGCTCCAGTGAAGATCTTAAGCACTATTCCCGTCAGTTATGCAGAAAACCAGAAACGAAGGTTAACATACAGATGTTGTGCGTTTACGGTGGTTCGCTTACCCACACATCGTGCGACCCATGTGAACCGATCTAGAAATTAAAATCAGGGAACCTTGTTGCTTGTCAGTGAACGCATACCAAAGGACACACAGCGATTGGAATTCCGCCAAACTGCCTTAGATTGGTCAATCCCTACCGTGCGCTAATACACTACCTACTCTGTCCACTATGCTGTTATTACCAGATTACATCTTCCCATACTTTGGCTGGGTGGCCCATAAACATTTCCACGAAACTGGAATGGTTACATTGCAACACAGGTTTTGTTTAACTGACAGTCTGCAAACGCCAGCACATTCTACAGGCCCTAACTCAGTAATTGCTTAAATATTCCCATGATTTGAATAGAAACGCAATGACAGACAGTAATGTTTACGAGATCTCTTCATCAGGTCACCTAATGAAATACGCAGCGAAGATTGGTTGGTGAAATAAAAAAAATGCGGAGATACGAACGATTGGTTGTCTGCGTCGCGTCTCATCTAACTGGGTGCTGTGAGAAAGTCTAGAGGGCCATTGAATGACTTGGTCGGTTGATTCTTGTGAAATAACCAAGGCGGATTAAGCGTTCGTAGGAAATATTTTGACAGTAGCGGCTACCTCAGTTGCAGTCAAGCAACGCCGTTGGATCGATACAGGCAGTCTATTGGGTACACTACAAATAACATGAAACGACTCATTAGGATTGACCACGTGCACGGTGCCAATTAAGTGGGATGCGATTGAGCTTCTGGCTGAACTGTTGAGTCTAATGGTTTTCAGGTGAGAGAGATGCTCACGTAGTTGTTTTCAATCAATTCAAGTTGTTCTGAAAAGATACTCACGTATTTTCTTAGAAATTCGCAGTGTTGCGCGCTCGACATACTCCGCTGAACAGCAGCAAGACAAAGAATACACATCCATATTCTGGGTGAGGACTGGCATCTTATCTTTGAGGTTTCATTTGAGCAAGGGGCTACTTGGAAACCAAGACCACAGGGTTCCGGCCGGAAGCGTGCGTTGTAAGGATTGAAACAAACGGCGATTGAGTATGTCCGCAAACAAATCGCCTTTATAAACTCAAGTACATTGGCTTCTTTCCAACGGTCGTGACAGGCGGTTGGATAAGGCGATCAGACATATTATTAGTTATAAACCTCTCTGGGTAACCATTGGCTCAGAGCACGTTAGCAATGCGCTGCAGTTCAGAGTTCGATGCATCAGCAGAGCAAATACGCCTTGCTCAGTTCGTTTAAGTGCAAACCAGGGTTCAATTTCGCCTCAGGCACAAAACTAAGGAACTTTGTGTATTGTTCCGTCCATCAGGGCTTTATGTAGACAGAACTCTGAATTGAATCCGTGTAAAGTGACTAACTTAACGCTCAGGAAGTGGAAAGCGTTGTCACTTTCAGTTTCAAAAGTGATCTGAATGAAGGAATGTGCTCAGTTAGAGATGCTCAGAATAGCATTTCGGAACCGTTTGATTCAAGCGTCAAAATTTCAGCTACGTAACACCGATAAAAGTATGTACGTCTAATCTCCCCATTTAATCGACCGAGCCCCAGTTTATCCGGAAAAATGTCAATCAACAAGGAATCAAGAGGAGAGCCCATGGTGACTCCATCGGTTATTCGGTAAAAGTGTCACTATACTATACTATTCTATTCTATACTATTAAAAGTGTCACTATACTATACTATTCTATTCTATACTATACTATACTATACTATACTACACTAAACTACACCATACTATGCTATACTATACTGGCGTAAAAGTCGGCGTACGGGTTCTAAAATATCGACCAACCTTTGGGAAGTTGTGTGATATGAGTAATCAAACATCCAAAATCGGCCTCAAAGGAATATCTCTCTCATGAACCTTAGACAGACCATAAAGTCGTAGGATTGTGGTACTGGCAGGTTTCAGGCGCTAGAATAAGACTTCAGAAATTAAACCTCCATTCCTCAGACGCTTCAGACAGTTTGTCAGTTCACTTCAGGTGCTTGGGTTTGGTCCTTTGTATTTTGTTCTTTGTTAAATTTCGAAGTGTCGTTCATTTGGAGCTGCTTTTCACTAAACAAGAAGTGCGTGGTGTGGGCTATCACCGGTAGTTCCCTTTGGTGCACTGGATAGTTCCTGCATCTAGTGACTGCAGGTAAGGAGTACGTTAAGACGTATGCTTAACGTTGCTGAGCTCAATAGCCGGACTCGCAATACTGTTGTCCAGTATTATAAAAATCGCTCTTATTGGATAGTTTTTCTGTTTAGCTCACGAAGTCGTTGCTTAGAGGACACCATTTCCTTCATCACCCAGACTTTCTTGTTGGCTTCGTACTATAAATCTGGCCCGTTCGTATTCACAACATTGTGACACTTTGGTCTCGTATTTATCTACAATCAGGAATGGTAACCGTTCCCCAACCACATTGGAACACTTCAACAGAGATTCCCTATTTCAATCGCTTTGTGAACGTGCAGAGTTCACCCTTTTGCATAAGGATTCTTATAGGTTGTATTTGAAAACAGACCGATTTCATCGGATTTCGGGTATTTCGGTCCCGGGCGTTTCATTCTCCGCTGTCAAGCAACAAGTCTAACGACTGTTTCTAAAGCTTTTCCTAAACGACTTCTCGAGCGGTTTCAAACGTCTTCTAGCTGACTGAATATCAGTCAGTCACTTGTACGTCCCAAGGCAGTAGCCGCGGACATTAATTGGCAGCTATGACGTGATCATTCAGTCACACTCCTCCTGAACGCCTGGACGTGCTTGCTGCTCCAACCAGTATCACTGAGCAACTCCATACGAAAGTCAGGTCAGGGATTGCTTATGCACCCGAAGGGTGAATTTCCAGCACTTTTTATGGGAACCACGCCGCAGAAAATAGGTCTAACCTCACCTAACACAGTGGGTATGTTAACAACAGCTGAATCGATGGCATGGTGTGATTACTGTCAGGTAATTATTTCGTCTTGTCAACACTGTCAATGTCGAATGAAACACATTGGCAAACGACTTGCATAGATTTCATAACTATGAGCTTATGGTGCTAGCTTTGAAATTCACATTTCTGAGTATTGCCAGTCAAAGAGGGTTAGGTAGCCGGTTGTTGAATCCCGGAATATTCATCTTAAAAAGCACCAACAAGGTTCCCATGTTACGTGGTTTCGAGATGGGAAAGCTCATTCACCCTGAGCAACCTGCTTCAAGGGACTATTTAAAAATAACCCTAAGGGACAATACAATAACACACCAAACGCAAGTTTCCGCACACAAGTTCAATGTTCAAAGTGGATGGTAAGGTAATAAGGAAAGTTGGGTTTTGGCGGAATAACTCACTTTGTCATCACTTAGAGCCAAAGCACGGGGTGTGATTGAAGGGGACTGGATGTTGCTCGACTTGGGGGGTTTACTTTGGGTAGCGAAAATACGTGGTCGTGACAGGGAGTGGTAGGAGTCGGTATGTTGTATCAGGTCAATCACACCACCCACTTCGATAGCACACAGGGAGCAACGCAGGGTTGGTTGGGAGCGGGCTGATCGGGTTTCAGTCTTTCCCGAGTCAGTATGCGCGATGCATGACTTTTCCCGTTCACCATCAATAGAAGGGACCGTCAGATTAGTAGGGTTGACTTCACCTGCGGAAATATCGGTCCCGCCCGTCGATACCGCTCTTGTGGGAATACCACGCAGTGACAGCTCTCCCTGATGACCTAAACAATGAACCTAAATGAAAGGTTGGTGAAATGTTGTTTTTCCATAAAATAAAGTGGTGTTATTAGAATATGAAAACGTATAATGAAGTACCACACTTAAACTACTAGTCCTGGAAGCAGCTTTTCAAGATTTCCGTACGCCTGCGCAAATCAACACAAGGAACGTTCCGGTTCGAATATTAGGCCTTTCTACCGACGCTTTGAAGGTGAGGACTGGTAGAAATTGTAGGTGATAGAACGTCAAGAACGGCAAGAATTGGTTGGGATGAGAAGCTGGGTGCCGGAAAAGACGTATCCAAAACGAGAAATTCATCGACCGCGTGAGTGGCCTATTTGTCAGTCTTCAACCAGTCATGTGAATCTTCCCGGGGACTGCCCAGACAGACACAACAGTTACTGCCGCGAGTACGTTTTTTGATTAGTGTTCTCATATCTCACTGTCAAACCGGCCAGAACAAGGAAAGTTCTCTGAAGGGTAGACCCTTCTAATACATGCTAAATAAGTTCCCGAACTTGCCACAATTCTTTCGTAATTTTATAGGTGATTTCGCCCTGTATCAAAACAAAGGGAGTAACGTAACTGGTTAAGGAAATCAACTTTCTGACCACACTGACTGGCTGGTCTGTTATGTTCGAACTTTATTCCACACAAGTGAGGCCTCTGCTGAGAAGATGAAAGGCACTGTACAATTGTTTCATGTACTTTTAGAACCATCAGCAATCAGTATCTCGCGAAGATTCACACCCGCGACTACTCGTTAATAACTAACCATTACACAATCCGGCCACTAGTGACTGATTAGCATCATAAGTAACTCAAATTTAAACGAGCTAAAACGCCAGCCCTCTTTCAGTCAGGCTGTTGACTTATCGAATTAAACAAGCGAGACGAGTACTGGCGATGATTCTAGACAAAGATGGAATAGATGTACAGCTGCTCATTTTCGCAGCATAGATTAGTCTCACGTGACTTCATCGCGTAAGTAATCTGCCCGGATAGGAAATAAATTCCACAAGTCGTATGAATTTCCATTCAAGGACCTGTTGGTACTAAATCACGGGTGTGACCAAGAAACGAGTACCTCTACTTCCTGCCCAAGTATAGTTGCATAACACTACTAATCAGCTATTCGCGGCTGAAAATTGTAGTGTCTAACTACTTACTAGAAGGCAACGGGTTCAAGTCTCCCTAGAGTTTTGAGAGGTATGCAGTGGCAGTGATGCCTAACAAGGACAAAGAACTGCACATTGCTTTTTGGCTTTTAACCATAGACTGATTTCAATTCTGGCACCAATTTTCACCCGACATAATCTTACAGTACTAGCGAATGACCCTAAGCAGATGTAAAGCAATTAATGGATTGGTGTATACCATTCAGACTCTTCAAAGTTTTTCTTACATTCCCAAAGGCTCCGATGGACCAAGACGATGTCCGACAAGGAAAAATGAGGGTTTGTATGCTGTGAGTGATTGTCGGTCTCCGGTGACGGCAACGGGATGCGATCAAGGACTGCCCTACCTATTCCTCAGTGTTGCCCAACTGCCTAACTGCAAACGGTCAGCCCGGTCATTTTGTTGATGTGATAGCCCGAGTGACGCCAAATAACATAGGGAAAGGGGAAAAAACAAAGTTTAACTAAATCAACTTAACACTACAATGTCAAAAACAAAACAAATTAGCAAATTTAGTGTGGACTAGTTTCGAATAGAATTAAAGAACTCACGAAGTAACGTGGCACAGCTGGTTACACTTACCCGAAATGCATCTTCGGATACAAATGTGAGGGAGCAATGAAAACAGTGTATCTCATCGGGAAATGGCCTGCGTTGCACTGACCTATTCATTGACGGATCGAATGACTCTAATCCGACCACGGAAATTGGCAAGCCGAAACGAACAGCATACGTCGGTGAATAGGTAGCAATCAGTTCCTCTCCGGAAATGACTGGACGGGTTAACAGAAGAAATATCCCATCCGCGCCTAGTTGATACGCCACGGCATTTGGGATCAGATCATTCACGTTTAACTGATCCATTGTTGTGCATACGAGACGAACGAACATCATCCAATTACAAACTGCTTCATCTCCAAGTTTCAAATATCGAATTCCCACAGACTGTCCATTCGAATCGTACACATCTATGCGAAACGGACAATCGGGCTACAATAAAGAAGTTAGCTAGTGCCACAGTTAACGGAAAGAAGGCAGTAAAACACGGACAACGACAAAAGTTTGAAAAAACGAAATGATGTGACCGAACGCAGAAAATTCTATGAGAGCGAACAATACTAGAGAAGAGGAAACGGTGGTGCTGTACTATTCGAATCACTCCGAAGAGCACCTACTCAAGGCAGTCTATTCTGGTTCAGCAAGCTTACGGGTAGTGTGTTCCTCCGGGGCCATGTGATGCGATATCTCGAATGTCGTCCCAATCGAAACACGAGAGGACCTTTGTCGAAGACAGTTTTTCTGACGGTCTCGAAACAAACTGCCTGACATCAGACTGTGTACGGAGTTTCGACTACATCCATTGTAAACGCCATGGTCGCCTCAAATATCGACCCACACAAACAGCTCTTGGAAGCAATGGAAAGAAAAATGCATGCCTTGGCACCATGCACGTGATAACAAAAGTCAGGGTTGTTCGAACTTTATTCTCCACATGAACTCATCATTGCTCCCCTAAAGCGAAAAACGCCACCAAAATGGTTAAAAACGCTCTCAAGAGGGTAGAATCTCCTCCACGGAAAACCAAAACTTTGGGTCGTGCAAACTTTTGGACCTCAATCCGGCATCGGAACACATGAAGCAACATAGATGAGATGCTCATAATGCTCTATGACTTTCGCCGATACCATCGTAGATAGATTGTTCGATAAGTGCGGTCATTCCATTGATGGATGTGCGGTGCGGGTGATTCGAGTTTCGCGCTTGTTAGAACTCATCAACAGTGTACACCAGTTTTGTCCAAATATCCCTTATCAACGCTGAATATCGGTGTTCTCTGTAACGGCCGTTGCAAACGCTACATCTACATGAGTGGTGTAATCTGAGTATAGAGCATTTTCAGAGGGGCGAATCAGCCAATAAAGCCAAAAGTAATGACAGAATAAGAATTACCAACACATAGTAGGCTCGACGGTGAGCGTAAAATGGATCCTGGTAGGATATCATTTTGAGTTCTCCATTCCACAAGTAGCGGCACAGAATGAAGAGAGAGGAAAATTTTGAAGGCTCAAACTTTCACGCTTATACCACATGAATATGGACACGATAAGTAGCACTTACAACCGCGCAGAGTCTAAAACTAAGTAAAAAAATCCGCTCCTACATGGGTTTGTCCTTGCATATAAATGAGCAAAACGCGCCCGGTCGATTTTCGGACTACAAAAAATGCTGCTATCTGAGTCCTTTACATCCGTCAACTAAACAGTGATTCTTACTCCAGCAGTATGTTGTTGAAGCTTCCTGCGAGAAATTTGAAGCAAAATTTATGCACATCTTTCAGCTTCCAGGGCGACTTCACAAACTGAAAAACTAGTGCGAGTGACAGGGTTGAAGTCTTCCCTAAGCCCAGCGATCAGCCCGACCATGAAGCGGAAATGCATATCAACCATGTCAGAAAGTCATCCTTAGACCGAACAGATGGTGTTAAACCTGGATAATCTAATCTGCAGAGACTATGGTATGATAAATTACTCCCTAATGCACCGGAAATCCAAGGCTCAAGAATGCCAGACAATTCGGGACATTCACCTGAGAATCTGTGAAGCCAACCGAAGTGATTGCCATAACAAAAACTAAACAGATAAATTTAAATAAATTTAAAAGGCAATACTAATAATTTCTTACCAGCCATTCGGGGTGAGCAAGCAGTTCCTCTTCTGTCAGTGCGGGTGCAACCAAAGGGCCGAATCGAGTCATTGATGGTTGGCGTTTGATTAATCGTACTCGTGTTACTCCGTCCTCTTCAGAAAGTTTGAAGCATTTGGGCAACGTCTGACGTGCATAACTAATAACTTCATTGTCCGGCTGAGCACTCATAGGGTGGTCGGGGCACAAGGAGAGTTGAGGATAGCACCATTGACATAAGGGACACCAAAACTGGCCAACATGAGAAGTCCGATGTGAGCTTGAAAAGGAAAGATCGTCAGCGGGGTTGTAAATGTGGCGTAGACCTCGATTTTCCAGCCTAGGCCGGCCACGTCGCCGTTTTTTAATCTGCTGGTTCTTGTCCGTCTCATCGGATATAACCCAACTGTCGACGTTAGCCCCGCCACAATTCATCTTGTTTTCATCAGTACCATCGGATTGTGCGGGGCACACAGCATACGATGTGCTGGAGCCGTCATTTTGCCTTGGATATGCAGATGCAGAAGAGTGGAGTGTCAATTGTGTGTTTACTGAGTGTTCCGGTACAAAAGATTCGTTAGAAGGTGTGAGCACAGGATAAGGGTAGGCTAAAGTGAGCTTACCACCAGTCGGTGGCAAAGACATCAGTGCTGGTGGAAGTGAAGCGATAGGTCCAGAGCCAGTAGCAGTTTTGCACTTGCTGGAGGCCTCCGCAGAGATGACGTAAACAGCTGATTGAGTGCCTGATGGTGCTAAAGCCACCTGGTTTGTATTCTCTTGTCCGAAATTGGATGTCGATACCAATGGTCGGTCAGTGTAATACAGTGAGCCTGGGTGACAAGGAAAGTAAACGGGCAACATGAAATTCGAAGGCCAGTAAATTCTACGAAAAAAAAACTAGGATTGAATGGCAATTTGTTAAAATGACCCGAAAATAAACCAATGTTATTGTTACTTTGGTGAAGCTGGAAATAAACTGCATCCTTCAGTGCTAGCCCACACAATATAAAAAAATGAAAAAAGATGAAATTAATAGAATGGCTCACAAAGGTGTACTGTACTAGATGAGAATTTCACCGTGAGCGTCCACGTTGGCGCAAAACAATCAAAAATATCCACAAGGAAAAGGCTCACGAGAACTCCACAGGCACATGACTGAAAAAAATGGTAAGCCACACTTGGAACATGAGTTAAACGGATTATAGCAGTCCGGGCACTTCCGCTCGGTGACACTGAGGGTGAGAAAGGCAAAGTCCCATTGGAAGTCTCGTCTCTGGAGGGGATGCCTCTCTAACGTGCGCAGAACGTCAAGCAAACTAATGAAAGTGTAAGTCTTCAAAAGAAATACAGGGATACGATTACATGTGTGGCTCACGCTTCAGTACATACTGTTCGGCAGCACAGCCAAAACACGAAAATCAATGACGAATATTTACTCGCTTACGAGTTGGGTCAAGGGAGTATGCTCGGACGAAACTCAAGAGGGTTTTTACTTTGTAATATAGGAAATTGTAATGATTCCGGCACACGTTCATATGATACAAACGAAACTCGGATTCATGGGCGAAATTTTTTTCAAAGTATCGCTGAATATAGGATTTGAAACGCTTCGGCGAACCTCCAATGCACAGAATGAAATCTGTAACAAATTCAGCGAATATACATTCATTTGCAAACTAATTGGGTTTCTCGAGATACTCACTTGGAACCCAACTGAATCTCTCGTTTGGGATGTTTTCAGGCAACTCACAATGCGGACCGTTCACTTGAGGACCTCCTACAACGTCATGCATCTATATTCACCGACGTGCACAAAAGCAAGGGCCAGACTGTGCTTCCTCCCCGGTGCCAAACCAGTTTTCAGGCCAAAACGTCCAGTACCGTATGCAGCCTTACTTATCGTTGACCAGCAACTGGACCGACTACAGAAGGCTGGTGTTCTTCAACCGACCATCTGATCTGCATGGACCGCACCGATCGCGTTGGTGAAGAAGGCTAACGGGACCATCCGGTTGTGTGCAGATTTCTCCACCGGTCTCAATGCTGCACTGGATACCCATCAATACCCTCTACTTCCTCCAGATGATTTGTTCGCGTAACTGGATGGGGGTAGATGTTTTGCGAAGATTGACTTGGCCGATGCATACCTCCTGGTTGAAGTTGAGAAAGAATCCCGAGAACTGACGATCAATACGCATTGCGGTCTGTTCCAGTATACTCGACTACCATTCGGTGTCAAAAAAGCGCCAGCCATATTTCGACAGATCATGGATACGATGCTGAAGGATGTCCCCGACGTTGCTGCCTATTTGGACGATCTCATTGTCATGGGTTTCAACCCCCATGAATTGTGGCAGCGCTTTGATTACGTGCTTGGTCGTTTTAAATAATATGGCTTCAGAGTGCGCCGAGAGAAATGCACCTTCTTCATGTAGTCAATAAAGCAGCTTGGTTTCATCATTGACTAACATGGCCGCCGACCAGACCTGGAGAACATCGGAGCAGAAAGCCAAGGGACCGATACGATCGTTCAGCAAATCACAACACCTAGATTGTAAGTGGCGTGTTTAGTGAGTGCATATCTAGGAACATGAGCATACACACTGTGGGCGCAAAATGCCTACCAAAGGACGAGACTACATTGGTCAGGTCGTCCAAAAAACACCTGCATCTTCTCTTTGATGAAGGTGACGATATCGTTTGCATATTCCAGATCGACAAGTTTTCATCACGGCTATTTGGACGCCGGGGTTTTGGAGGCCTTCAAGCGTTTGTTCCATTATCTGTCGATCTCGAAATTGAGTAGGTAAGGAGAGAGTGGGCATCCCTGACGTGTACGGAAGATTTTGGAGCTCTCCGTATAATCGCACATGTTCGGAAGTCTGAGAATACAAAGAACGTATTATGTTCACAAAGTTCTGGGGCATTCCTTGGTGGGTCGGTGTTTTAAGGACAACAGATCGGTCTCCGATTTCTAGCCTAGACAGGGGAAGTCGAAAGACAGAGTTCGGGTTCGAACCACGGACCTTCCGGTCAAGAAATTCGCGTTCTAACCGCTGAGCCATCTAGATATTTATGAAAGCAGCGATCCTGCTTTCCATCGAGGAACGGCGGGGTAAAGAGAGTCGGCCCTAAAAGCCGCAAACTCCAATCGCACACAACGGCTGACCGTGATCGTGGTCATCGAGTCATTTGCTCCGGGCAGGGTCCTCCAAGAAAACGATGACAACCGTTGTCTCGCGGTTCAGACTCTCAAGTCAAAGCCTAGGGGCAAGGTTACCGAACAAAAACATACATCCTACTGCCTTGTGGGTCGGACGTTTGAGCCAAAGGCTCAAGATGGAGTACCTCAACCAAAACCCGCTCTTCGGCCTCGGCAATTGAGAAGTATCATTTGTCCTTGCAGCTCTTCACTCATCGACATTCTCCTGCACTCCCTCCACACCTGTCGTGTTGTGCTGTTGTCTGGCTCAGTTAAGTTTGACGCAGAGCGATGCGGCAAACGGTGTTTGTATGTCATATCGACATACACCCCAACAGACCGAAGTTATGAGGCTGAGGAGGACGACTGCTTCAACAGGCAGAAAGGCCGGATATAGTAATGCTGACGGGTGATATGAATGCCAAAGTTGGACGAATAAGTCCGGAATAAGCACAGTTAGGCGGTAGATTTGAAGTCCATACCGAGCGTACGTCTGTTCCTAGCCAGCAGGAACATCCAACACAAACGCCTATATCGAGTTATTTGGGGACCATCAGTCACAAGACAGTCGTGGACTCCATTGAAACATGTGGCCACCAGTTACCGATAGAGAGCCTTAGTTAAGGGTTGCCGTTAATTCCGTGGTACGCAACTTGATTCTTATCACGTCATCGTGCGGACCCGGTTAGCACTTCGCTTTCCACCGGCATCATGTGCCAAAGGAGAGCAGTTCCGTTTATCAACTTTGCCAAGTTTCATCTGAAGATTATCGAGTTGATCTGGCTAGAAAGCTATTGGAAACGCGGTCAAGTGGACGACGAAGGTTGATTGGAGGATGAATGGAGGCGAGTTAAAGAAGCAATGCTCTCGGCTTTCAGGACTGTTTGTTCAGGCCATCTGACTTGACTAACACTGGATATCGAGATCAGAAAGTCTTATTGCTGTCAAAAAAGCCGTATCATCGAATAGCGACTGTGGCGGCGCAGGCAGGTCCCTCTAACACCGGATGATCAAAAACTCGATGAATGACAGAGAACGCTGATGGATTTCGAAGGGCCAGGTAATGGAGAAGGCTTCCGCTACTGGCAAAAGCAGCGCCCTGTTTTGGCTGATTCGATCAACCGGTCAAAAGAAGGCAGGTGTAAAGCGAAACAACATGCGAACAAGACGAAATGGCAATTCACTCCCTTGATCGTCGTCCTGAGCCGAGCACTTCGAAGAACAGCTCATCTTGTCTCCTTTAACACAACCATTGGAAGAACTCAGAGGACCCGTGGTGAACACTGACACCAACCCACCAGCAACAACCGAAATCCAGCGGGAGATATCAATCCTGAAGTGCGACAAGGCCCCTGGCCCGGATGGTCTGCACCCCGCACTTTTCCAAGGTGGCGAGGTCCTGGTGAACAGCCTGACAACCATACTGCAGATGATTTGGAACGAAAACAGAATACCAACCGAATGGAGCTCTCCAACCATCATCCCAGTCTTCGAAAAGGGCGCAAGAACGTCATGTGAAAACCATCATGGCATCAGCCTGACATCCGTCGCATCTAAGGTACTCTTAGGCATTATTTTGCACAGGTTGGTGGATTATCGGGAGAGACAAATTAGTGAAAATAGAGCTGCGTTTCGCCCTGGTCGATGATGCATCGACCATATCTTTACTGTGAGACAAGTTCTTGAGCAGTGCCACTCCTTCAGACGTCCCACGTTGATCGTTTTTCTTGACTTCAAAGCTGTTTTTGGTTCTGTCAATCGTCAGAAACTTCGGCAGTGTCTGGTGATCAGAGATGTGCCCTTATAAGGGCACTGTATGCGAACTCTTGTGGACGCTTACGATTATACGGCGAAATTTCACCTGAGTTCACGACGTTCAGTAGTGTAAGATATGCTGCTTGCAATTTCTCTCCCTGCCTCTGAAACCACGGGAGTCGAAATCCTCACGGAACGTTCCATTGCAGGTATTAAGTATGCGGACGATATTGGTCTAGCTGGTTCAGATCCTTCTCAAACGCAGACGATTTTAGATAACCTAAATAACTCTGCCGCACGGTTTGGCATGCTCTTCACATCTGCGAAGTGCAAAGTGCAGCTACAAGACTGAGGGGGATCAAGCCCACAACTCATTTTTGCGGGCGAGCCAATCGGTGTGGTAGATAAGTTTGTTTACCAGGACAGCAGTATAAGTTCCGGTGAACTGGCTGGAGATGAGATTGTTTTTCGAATCGGAAAGGCCAGGGCAGCTTATGCCAACCTCCGACACCTATGGCGCCGGAGTGATGTGAGTTTGTCTATCAGGAGCAGAGTTTACACTACGGTAGTGCGACCCATACTGGTTCATGGATCAAAGGTGTGGCGTCTACGCGCAGAAGACATACGAAGGATGCCAGTGTTTGACCATCGGTGTCTCCGGAGCGTTAGTCTGGTCTGATGGGAGCATCGGATTAGCAGTGTTGATCTTAGGAAGAGGGAACTCTTCCACGATAGATGAATTACTCACGCTCCATAAGTTATACTGGTTAGGACATGTACTCCGTCTGTCTCACAGAGCTCTTTTCGTCCAGCCCTGTGCTCAGTGGAAGCAACCGAGAGGTGGATAGTGTATGACCTGGCAACGATGTACAAAACATTAACCAGGAGACTCAGTCAGGTCGGCAACTACCGCCTCGCTGGGTGCGGACCCCGGGACTCAAATCACGAATGGTTAATGACATTGACAGAAATGGTTCAATCGCGCAACCAATGGCGTTCATGCATCAAAGCTATCTCGTTCAATGCGTAACTACCAAGTTCCGGAACTAAACACATGTGCCATCACCTCTACAGCTTGGCTGTATGTCCCACTCTTCCGTTGTCCGGTGATCGAAACTGTAGCAGCTGCAACCAATGTGCTTGCTGTATGCGGTTTATAATGGTAAATTGAATTGCTTGAACAGACTGGTCATCCGAATAGAATACCCTTTGGAAATCCAGGAAAACTAAAAGTGCAGTCGTTTTTTTTTCGGGGAGTTGGTTGAGGGCTGCGAGGTAGAGTCAAGCAGTTTCAAAACGCGGCTAAATTAAGGAGCACCTACCAAGCGACCTAATACATGTGGTGTTTGGTACTCATGTATTGGATCAGTGCATGCCTTTGAGGTTTCTTGTGTGATTCCGAAAAATGGTGCTCAGCGGATATTTTACACCTTTCTCGTCTTTCTCGACAAATACTGGTTGGTCAGATGCTCCCTAAGTTTCACGTTGCTTCCGCTGTGGGGCCGACACCCAACTATTCGCGACCCAATAGGATAAGTCGTCCAAGATTTTGGTCTCGCTGATTTCACATTACGGCAATTTAACGGTGTCCATCGGTGTGTGATTGGTCTACACCGCACACTTTAAAACCGGCATGTTCGACTTTGTCAAATGTTCACGTGTTGGACCAGGTCAACGCCCACGACAGTCGCTTACAACGGAAACGAGCAAAGGCGCTGGGATCTGGTGGCCATCTAAAGACCAATCAAAAGAAAGTTGATAATTTCTGTGCAACTCTGGGGGACTAGATGACGGAGACGCTGTATATTTTCCACTGTTTACATGGAGAGGAAATCT